CCCCCCCCCCCCCCCCCCCCCCCCCATGAGCTACAGGCCTGGTAAAGTAACAGGTTCAGACAGTGCCATGGTTTGCTTAACCAAACGGAACAAGTGAACAAGTTGTTCCCCTTGGACTCCACCTTTTGCATCTCGGTGTATTTTACTAAAACAAAAGGTTGTCACTTGTGGCATCCATCTCGCTGTCAGTGGGAGCCCCCCCCCCCCCTTTCACCACCTCGCTTTTTGTGTGAGCGGTGTCATCAGATGAAGCCGCAGAAAAGCCAGACCGAGCATGTTTTCCAAAGAGAGGAAATAGTAAGGGGGGGGCCTGACACCTAAAAGCATGAAAGAGGAAGACCCAGGGCCAGGGGAGGGGCTGTTTCCATTGAGCAGTGGGTCCATATGGCCGGGCAGCGGGGATGCAGAGTGGTCGGTGCTAATGATCTGTCTGGATGTCTCCTCCCTACTGTAGTGCATTCAGATAGTGAGGTGTGGTTGTTGGGAGAGTGGTGGCTTTCACTCACTGGCATCAAGGAATTAACACAAAGTCAGTCCCATGACTTTGCATGCAGGTGTTGCCATCATTTTGCCAAGAGGCATTTATGTTGGCAGCAGCAGCAGCTTTCACATTCCTATCAGCTGGAGGTGCATGACTTACAAAATGTGTTCATCAACGCAGGGCCGGGGCCAGAGGGGGGGGGGGGGCAAGGGTGGCACAGGCTTCTGAAATCTAGGGGCCCCACCCACCAGAGGCAGAAGGTGATAGGTAGTGGGCTTGTTCATATCATGGATGGTTGGAGCCACAAAACAACTACAAAGAGACACAAAAGGACCACAAAGAGACACATTAAGTTGACACAGAGATGCACACCTACTACCAAGACATGAAACATGACTACTTGATTTATACCCCTGTGGCATGTGCTTCTGTGTGTTCTGTGCAGAGTGTGGGAAACTCTCGTGCACACCAGGCATATAGTACAGCAGGGGGATTGCAGAAGGCATGTCATTTATTTTTGACATGGACCCGCGGTTTTCAGATCCTTTGTCATACGGTCTTTGATTTATTTGATAGGTGTGTTTCAGTTGTTTCAATTAAGTTTGGCCCAACACACAACTTTATGGCTGGAAATGCAAAATGACCACAAAGAAACACAAAACGACTAGACAGAGATGTAAATTGGGCGGGGGCCTTTCATACGTATATGTCCAGGGACCTGGCTGTATTTGTAAGTTGATGTTCTTTCATATTCATCGTATATTTGGCATTCATCTATAAGTCCCTTCAAACACCTTTAAACCCGCCCCTGCATAAAACTTGGAAACGGAAATCTCCACAGTTGTTTAATGCACGATAAAGTTTGACCACGACCCGTAATCATTTATGTAAAGTCATGAATAAGGTTGTGAAACACACACATATGGTGACACGTCATGCTCTCCTGTCCCAGGCAGCTGCTTCGTATTCTCTTCATGTTCAGCGTAGCACTGACCCCTGACAGTCAGGCCCCCGCTCCTCTCCGGCCTGACTGATGGGCTGTGAAGGGAACTGTGGGAAACTTCGACTTGCCAAATGGGTTTCGAGGCAAGGTGAAAATGGTAGCCTTAGTCACTGAAAAGTGCAATTTTGTTCAATTTGATCATTGTTTCTGCTGTCAACGGGCCATGCGATGATCTGTTTTACGATGGCTGAGAATCAGCTGGAGGTTCAATTGGTCTTGTTTCCTTACACTTTCGATGTGCTTTCAGAGTAAACTTTCACCTTCTAGTCTTACGGTTGACAGGCGCTTATCTGGCTTTAGATGTTTTTGATATGAGAGAGAGACTTGACATTTCAGCAAGCCATCTTGGATAGAAAACATGTGAATCTTGTGCTCTTCAGAGAGCATTTTGTTTTGTGCTCTGCTCAAAGTAGTTATTCTATTGAACCAGGAATCTCTGAGAGGAAGAATCGACATGTTTGCCGCCCACAAGGTAGCTGAATTAGGATATGATTGTATCAATTGCTTACTGGCTCCGCTCCCAGTCTGTGCACCACATACTGGTACGCTCTCCAACAGCTCTAAAAATAGAGTGCAGGATATAAACGTACACTCACAACATTTTTAAAAAACCAGCAGGTTTGATGGCAAATATGGTAGAATAAATTAGTATGTTAAAACCAATATTATAATCACTTTCATTTCGTGTTATGAGCCTAGACCAGCGGTTTTCAGCCTTTTTTTTGCCGGACATGAGCCATTGTCTAACCAACCAACTAACCATTTATCAGATACTTTTAGTTAACTACACCATTATCTATCACTTTCTATTTCAACCATTTATTCATGAGTGTAAACTATCTTCTGTAACCTATTAGGTTTACTTTTAGCTTATGCTAACCGTTTATTCATCACTTTAAGCTAGCTATTTCAATCATTTATTCACTTAACAATTACTTCTGGCTAACCATTTTAAATATGTATCCATTACTTTTAGCTTACTATACCATCATCCATGACTTTCTATTCAAAACCGTTCATTGCTTTTAGCTAATCGTTTCAACCATTAACCCTTTAGTTTTAGCTAAAGGGTTAATGATTTAGACTTCTCTGCATGCTAAGCTAACTCGTTTTCACACACTCTCATTCATGGTGATCAGGTGCTACAGTTGACTCAATATTTGGATATGTTTAAATTTAATTATAATTTCTAATGTTTTAAAACCAGTTGAGCTAGTCAACAATCTTACCGCTAGTTGGGAATCACTGGTCGAGACACATCAAATAAGAGTGCTTTGAGAAGACAGCATTTTTGACTTTGTACCACAACCCACTTGCATGACAGCAGCTCAGTGAGAGAGAGAGAGCGAGAGAGAGAGACAGAGAGAGAGAGAGAGAGGAAACACTGGCAGAGGCAGGAGGAAACCAGACCCTTACACCACATTTACCACGGCCTGTTTTACAGAACCACTCCACATCTAACGTCGCATTTCCTGTTTAGTTAACAATTGAGCCATGAGGATTTCGATCTCAAGATGCTTGAAGGGATGCAGGCAGACAGCGTCTCCGTGCAGAGACCAGTCGTTGTCGTCCATGTGGCTGCCTGGGACCGTTGACACCGTTTTCTCCTGACGGTGAATGCGCCGCCGCGGCCTCCTCCCGCGGGTTGCCAGGTTGGGGCCAGGCCAGCCCGGCTCACCATCTGGGTCTCGTTTTAGCTACATGTGACGGGAGAGAAGAATTTCTGTAAAGCATGCTGTCATAGATCATCTCCTGTCTCACTCGTCCTCTGGTATTTTGGTTTCCTTCATTCGCCCTTCTCTCTCATTCTCTGGCCCGTCATTGTGTGGCGACACCAGGGGGGGACAGTCAGTCATTTACATTTCATTTGTAAGCTGAGACATATTTGAGGGTTTCGATTTTTCACATGAAGTTAGTCAACAATAGCCGGAGGACACGGCTATGTCTGTGCGGTTGTTTTTGTTTTGCCAACTTCTGTTTTGCTGGGTTTCATGTTTAAATACATTAGCTTAACATATTGCACACAACAGTAATCAAAACAGGCTGCGGTGGCAAAGTTAATGCGTCGACTCGCAAGCGCAGTTGTTACGTGCACTAGAGAGAAGGTATTGTTTGGTTAAAGAAACAA